ACTGTTACCAAGCACAGTTATGAATTGCCTTGCCATTGTGAAACTCATCCTTCAGTCTATGGTTATGATTGCTGCCTGTGCTACGGTGGCAACTAAATTGTGTGTGACATAAGAGGATCTAGCCTGGGCCTTGATGCTGCACAACAGCATGCCTGTCACTTAATGGCATCAAGTACAGAGGCAAGCTGTATTAGGTAAATGGTGAGGGTGGGCACAACATATAGGTGGACCAAAAGGCAGATAAATCTGCAACAAGGGCTGAGACTCTATATCACAGACACCAGTTTGGTTCCAGCTTGCCATACAGCCTGGAGCTTGTTCTCTCCACAATAATTTAAAGAATACAACAGCTCTTCACTCAGATTGTAAAATGGTGTTTTGGACCCAGTTGAAACAGTGGCTCAAATCCAAAACTTTCTTCAGCTGAGCAGTGACAATCTACACAATTCTTAGATTGAGCCCCACATTAGTATGGATGTGAAGGGCAACTTTGTTTTTCTCAGATTCTCAGAACTACTTGTGTTTGAACTGTAGACATGCCCTTTGAAAAACAGAGAGATTTATTTATAATTGGCTAGATTTGCAAGCTTGCTTTATTACATTATTTCCTGCCCAGGGTTTCTTAATACTGAATAGAAATGATTATGAAAACTTCTTACTTCAGGGCATTTCCAGGCTAGCAGGGCTGAAGCAGAACCTGTCATTGCTGGTCCAGTTTTATTTCTGGAAAAATCTGCTGAACTGAGGCAAAGTTCAAATCCAGAAGGGGAACACATACACGCATAACATTCATGCATGCACTTCGTGAGTTTGTTCCAATCTCTCTGTCGTTGAACTTTCAGCTGTAAGCCTTTAAACTGTACATAAGCAGTGCTGTTAACTTGATAACTTTTTTTTCTGTAACTTTTTTTTTTTTGTAAAACAAATCTTGTAAAAATTAATTTATTTATGTACCTAGGAGTCAGGAATACCCCTGCTTTTCTATTTTGCCAACTTACTGGCTGTCAGTGGAGTAAAACTGGGATGGGGGGAGAATCAAACTCAGCATGTAGTGTGGGACTTCAGCCTAAAATGTAATATGGAATCTTTACCTCTGAGTTGAGCTGTGATATCTTATGCCAGAAAAGAATACAGGCTCAGCCAACTGAGGATTAGCTGTTATTATTCTGGCTTTTTGTTGCTAACTTTTTTATGTAAACCCGTAAGGAGAATAGAAGTCAGCTCACTTGAGAAAGTACACTGTCATAGGATGAGATGATCAAGAACTGGTCAGGGAGCTGCTGCTATCCTGTGATTTCCTCATTCTGGTACTGCATGATTGACATCTTCCACACACCATGAAAAGTCTGAGACCTCCAGAGCTCTGCTTCATCAGCTTCACTGCTGTTTAGATATTTAACCACAGCTTAATGGGAGCACCTTTAGAAGTACGTAAAAGTTTCATCCAAAGTCTTTTGGACTTATAGGTGTATTTACTTGATTTTAACAGGGTTTGGATTAGGCTGTCAGGGAACAGAGCAGAGCTGCTTCTGACATTTTGTGCGGTAACAATCTGCTGTTCAAGCCTCTGACCACACTCTGACTATTTGAAACTCCAAAGATTTCAGTGTGGAAAATCTGTGCTTCATTACCCTGCTTAAAGTGGAAGAAGAGTAAAGTGTAATAAAAATGAGTATGAAAACTGCTTACTTCAGAACATTTCTAGACACAATGGGTTGTAGTAATCCATTTTTTTCCTGGTGGGGGCTTTCTTCCCAGCACTTTATGGATCGAAAAATGTTTCATTTCCCTAAACCCCCCAGGATATATTAAGACTAAAATGCATTGGAAAAGGAAGTTTCCATCCCACAGAAACTTCAGAATTTCAACATTGGTTCCAGTTTCAAACTCAGATGAGAATTTGACATTTCAAAGCTTTTCAGGGAGTGAAATATTCCTCAGACAAATTGATTCACAAATGTTGAAATGTTATTTCAATCTGTGTCCACCAAGCCATTGATCTGAGCTGTGGACTGAAGGCACAATATCCCTATTCGCTTCTTTGCCTACTAACCCAGCAGTATCTTCCTGGAGCTTCTTTTCATAATGACTCTTCAACAACTCCTAGTCAAATCCATTAATAGGTCAGTGGTTTGCAAGAAAAGTAGGCTTTTCTAGCTCTGCTGCTTAAGTTAACCTACTTTTTCTGACAGGTAGATCTCACCCAGTAGGCTGTATCTTGAGCATCATCCATTCCAATCACCATTCCAAAACCTATTTTCTATGTTTTGTTCATACTGTGAGAAGATGTTGCAAGAAACGCCTCTGCCTTCCTTGCTGATTCACTGTTCATAGAGACATATTATTATTCCCCTCATAAACAGTACTTTAATTTTTCTCTGTCTAACTTTATTTTCATAAGAGTGCAGCCTATATACTACTTTCTTCTAAGAGCTACTAAGAAGCAATGTAAAGATTTGAAGTAATGTTTTTGATTCTGAAACATGTAGGAATCCATTGCAAATAATACTAAGCCTTTTGCTGGGTGCAATCCTCTCCAAATGACTGAAAAAGGATTTGCCTCAGTAGTCAAGGGAAAAAAAAAAAAAAAAAGCCATAAGTGGGGAAGTTTTTAAGTTGGATTTTTTATTTTTTTTAATTTCAGACATTAGTTCAGCTAATCACTCATAAAGATTTGTTCACGAAAATACAACATGTATTCCCAGAGCTCTGGATATCTATTAGAATAGATAATCTAATGGTGCTAACTAAAAATCAGCCCATAAACCCTAGGGCAAAAGTAAATTTATTTCATTTTATCAAAGTTTCTAAAAGTATACGGTTATTTGAGAGATTTTACATAGCACTGGAAGATGTTCATGTTCATGTACATACTATTAAAATTTTGATATTCACAAGAGATCTCCATTTTGTTTAATACTTCCATTTGAAATACAAACATTTTCCATAAAATAAGGATTTTTATGCCATGAAGAGTGGATATCTGTTTCAAAAAGAACAGTGAACCTCAGTATAACTTTGTTTAACATCTGAGATTTTCCTAGTGGTTAAATCTGCTAGTTGTGACCTAGCCTAAAATAGCTCGATTTATGAATAAACTTTAATCTGAGCACAGACCATGGTAACGTGTGAGTTGATGATTCAGAAAGCTAAAAAGTCTTTAATGTCGGGAAGGCTCATACTGAGTTTCATGTCCCGCTCTCTTTACATTCAGGCAATTCACATGTTCTTTTCAAAATGGGTAAAAGCATGTAGATTTGGACACCATTGAGGACTGAATCACTGAATGAATATAAACTATGCTATGGACAGGTATGGAAGGGAATTTTGGCCTTTCCACTGATATCTGTTGTTTTCAGGAGAACTTTTCTCACTCAAAGTGCTAGTGAACTCTAGTAATGCACTTGAAGGAAAGTCATCCGAGTTGGTGGCATAGTGTCAGACTGTTTACAGGCCACGCAAATATTTTCTTTGTAAAACATTCATGACAATAAAGCAAATCACTCTCTCTATGAAAAAGGTGGTTCATTTCTTGTGTGATATTCAGAAAAGTAAATCTAACATGATATCTCTGATGGATTACATATATACCCATATCTGGAAGATTTGAATGGAGTAGTCACAGTCAAGATAATCTTAACTTTGGTTCAGCTACCTAAGCATAATGTGCCATGGTGGTTTTAATATGGTAAAGTATCTCCTGCAGTCTTGGTGTGACCAGTTTTTTAGAGAAATGTATCATTTTTACATGACTATTATTCCCTTAGCCTTCATTAGTTCCTTTGGAGACCTTATAATATAAGGTACAAGAATGAGACTGTTGACCCAGTCCCGAATGAGTAGAATTGGGAAAAGTCAAACCTACAATGTTTGAAATTCAATTAAATATGATATCAATGTGATAGATAACTAAGGAAAATGTTATTGTATCACTAGTAAATAATAGTGATGTTACAAATGGGAATAGAGTTTGCTAAAAGGAGATACTAAGTATTAATTTAAGCCTACATTTTACAGGAAAATGCAGAGGAATTGTCAAAACCACAAGTACAGTGAGCTCTGGCAGTGATTTCCAATTATGCCGTCACAGACTTGCACAAATAAGACAAGTTAGTCTGAATGTTCAAGTATGCAAGTTATACATACAGCTTTTAAGAGCCTGGAGGATAAGTACCTTATATGCTCATAAGTGTTTCTAAGACTCAGCTATCTGATTTTAACTGAACCTCACAGATGCAGGGAATTTTAAAGTTGAAATATGCACTTTATTTTAAATTCCCTGTGTATATATATTTTCTCTGGCTTTATATATATAAGTTATTTAATTTCAAACGTATTTAATAATAATAAATTTATATTTCATTCACCTAGGGTCTATATAAATTTGTGAATTTAGAGGCCTAGATTATCTATGCAAGTTTTAAAATTTTGAACAGAACAATTTACACATAAGTTTAAAACCAGTTTCAGTATCTGATTCTGAGTTATTTTGTTTTAAACAGTCCTTCTTCTTTTATCAGTTCTTAAACAAAGTCTGAATGCAGGCTTGGACTGTGGGGAATGGGATTATTATCAAACATAATTAAAACCACACGTTATTTCCAACTGTATAGCAAAACTGCATAGTAAAATTTCTCTGAGATCTCAGACGTTACTATCAATAATCTTTGTTGCTCTGTGTTGCTCATTTGTTTTATACATCTGGTCTCTGAGTCTCTGTCTTCTTACCTACTTCACAGATATTTCTCCCTGAAACTGGAAGCGTAGTTTCTGATGGACCCTGACCACAAACTGCTGATAATGCAAGGAAAAAAAACAAAAACAAAAAACAGCTATACTGCTTTCTCTCTCTGTACTGCAAAAGCTATTGAGTACTAACCTGCTCACTATCTTATGGGGATTCTGAGAGAGAAACTTGGTGGTAATTAGTAGCAGAGATGGATCAAGCAGTCAGAAAGCAGATGCTTATTTTAAAACTGCACATCTTTCTATCTTGCCAGATTGTTGGCTGTGACCGCCAGCTGGGAAGCACTGTCAAGGAAGATAACTGTGGGGTCTGCAATGGTGATGGGTCCACCTGCCGGCTGGTTCGAGGCCAGTATAAGTCCCAGTTCTCAGCAAATAAAAGTAAGCTGTTCCTTCTGGTAAAGTGCCATCTTCACTTCTTACTAAAATATATATTACTAGCATGTATCTTTCACCCCACTCTTCATCAGGCAGTTGAATGATCATGATCAGTCTAGATGTACTCATCATTTCTTCCCTGTTCAGGGAAGAATTCATGCTTGCTCACACTATAACTCTGACTGAAGGAATGGACAGACTGTTGTGGAGAGCCATCACCAATGTATTTCCTTTTTTTATTTCACTACCTTGGAATAAGCCAGAGAAATAGAAGAGCTAGCTTAGCGCCCTGCTAAGGCTGTATTAGCTGGCTGTGTGGAGCCCAGTCCATGCTGTACTGAAAAGTATCTTATCCTTCCCCCAGAGCAAAAAAGGAGTACTGAACAGGGATGGTGGTACCATCATACACACACATACACACACACAACATATACACACACAAAAAGGAAAGAAAGGAAAAAAAAAATAGAAATGAAGAAAGAGGAGGAGAGGAGAGGAGAGGAGAGGAGAGGAGAGGAGAGGAGAGGAATAATCCTCATAAAGGTTTGGATATTTTTTTTTCTGGGACAAAGCTGAACTTTTGTGGACAAAGGGAGTAATTTGCAGAGATTTAGGAATGGAATTTCATGTCACTGTAGCTGTTCCCCCAGTGTGCACAGATTTAGAAATCTCCAGGCTGCTTGAGATTTGATAGTACTTGAAGATTTTTTCAGCAAATGTCTTTTCCTCCAGAAATAATTTATTATTTTTCAATTGCTTTGTAGTAAAACAGTGTTCCTTTCTTTTCTACTACTAATAAAGGCACTAATATGTTATGCACACTACTCACACAGGTTAATAAAATACAGTCCTCAGTCCCACTCATTTGCTATTAAAGAATGTTATGTAAGTAGAAGAGCAGAGGGCGTAGTCTCTAAGAGAAATGTGAAAAAAATGTTAGAGAATGGATTGTCCAGATACATTTGCTTTCAAAAATCATTGTGCAGAAATGAAGTAGATAATCAGATTGTGTGCACACTATGTGGTATTATTCTTTCTGAAAAGATGCATGTCATTTTGTGAATTTTGAATATAGCAAAAATAAACAGTCCTTTAAATTGGCTTTTTACCAATGTTAGGGTAGAGTTGCTTCAGATTTCTGTCACATGTGCACTAGTATGAATTCTTTATGAGGTTGCCCTCCAAAAAATATGTACTTCCTATGAAAAATGGGGGCATTTAAATTCTGAAAAGCCAAAAAAAAAAAACTTTAAAAAGCTAAAAATCTAACCTGTGCGTATTTATTATGTTTATCTATACAGCAATAATTAGATACCCATCACTTTGATTCTTTTGTCTGTCTCATAGCTTCTTGTTTATTTGTATCTTTGAGTAAGTCTATAAAAACACTTCTGGTATCAGGACTTGATTTATTTCCTGAAATGATATTTGGTTTTCAATAGCTTAATTCCAAGTAATTTCTATAAAAAAATGCTTATTTCACAAGAATGATGTCTAATTTTTTCTTGCTATTAATTAGACATTAAAAGGTTTTGCAAGCCAGACTGAATGTCTCATAACTTCAGGAAAATCAGAAGAGATACTTTGCAGCAGTGACTAGACATCAGCAGAGATGTTCTATGAGATCACCTTGGATTTTTATTTACCTAACAAAGTTCAGAATTCATTTTCAAGGACTGTTCTAGGGAAATTGGACTGTGACTTTTATAGCAGTCCTGCTTCAGTAGTTTCTGAAATTATTTATATCTCAAAACTACCCCAGATAGAGTCTTGATTTCATCATACTGAATTCATTTTCTCTTGGTGGTTATATCCAGTTTCTATGTCTGTGCTGTTTATACCATGTCAGTGCATGGGAGAACAGTACTAGAAAGAAATTCATAAAGCTTTTAAACACTTAGCATTTGCCATGGGAACAGCTTCCTTAGTACTCACAGGAATAGAATATGTCTCCCAGTGGCCTCAGAAACAGAAGCATAGTAGGGAAAGAGGCAGTATGACTCCTATATTTTTATAAAAAAGAAAGCACCTGTTCCTGTGATTTTTTGTTGTTGTTGCTGTAGCTTCCCTTCCCTTCCCTTCCCTTCCCTTCCCTTCCCTTCCCTTCCCTTCCCTTCCCTTCCCTTCCCTTCCCTTCCCTGCTCCCCTCCCCTCTTCTTTCCCTTTCCCTTTCCCTTTCCCTTTCCCTTTCCCTTTCCCTTTCCCTTTCCCTTTCCCTTTCCCTTTCCCACTACTGAAGAAGACTACTTTAGAATTGAATTACAGAAGTTGCTGAAGCTGAATAAATATTTGTCAAATTGCTTTCGCCATGTTTGTCAAATATAGATGCAATTCTGGCTTTAAGTTCAGCACTGATAGTAATGGGAAAATAAAAATAAATATACACTTTTACCAAGGGAATTGATAGGTTTACCATTTGGACTAAATTCAAGTTCAGGATCTAAAATCAGAAGTAAAGTATCTTTCAGGATATCTGATTCATGTGCCTGACATAACATTTGCTTAGATCCCTTCATCTTTTTCACAGCTCCAGGCCACTGTCCTCTCAGTTAGATAGGACTCCTCCTTTCTTTCCTGTATCTCTTCTGGAGAAAGCCAGCTCCCTGCTAACGTACTTCACACCTTTTCCCCAGAGTGTTCCACATAGCAGCTCCACAGTCTGCCTCCTCAGAAAATTACCCCTAAGCCCCCACTGCTTCTGTTTTGTGAAAACAGGAAGCACAGTGATAAGCAGAAATCTCACTGAGAATTCCTTTTCACATAAAGTGGGCCAGGATTTCAGATGCACAGCAACAAGATTAGGTGAAGTACAGTTCTAGCAGCACACAGAGGCAAAAGAGACATAAAAAGAACATACAATGCACAAGCTTGCATCACCTTTAAAATTCCTGGTTTTACTGTAACATTAAATTGAGTTATTAACTCTTGAGCACAGAGCCTATGACTGAGAGACCATCAATAATAATAAAGTCCTGTTTTTAACAAAGGTTTGTAAGAAGGCAATTAACACATTTTCTGGAAAAGCAGAATTATTGTTTTACCAAACTCATTCTAATAAACATGATATAAACAGCAAGGTGATGATATATTCATGTTTGTTGCTTTTTTTTTTCCCCGACTGGATTAAAGCCATTTATCCTACTTGGCATCATCTTGAATATTGGTGCCAAAGTGGCAGCAATAAAATAAACAGTAGAGTATCAGCGTTAATAAATTCTGGCAGACTTGAATGCTTGTTTTCTCAAAAAGAAAATTTGAAATCTGTATTAAAATGAAAGATGCCTGTTTTTGTTCATTATTGTGCTAACAGCACAAACTGTGCTGAGGAGAGTTTAACTATGGAAGTCTTCAGAAGTCTTCGGAAGCACTGGATCTTAATGGGAGCCAGGGTGAAATAGAGAGGTACTGATTACTTTTGAAATCCAGAAATGGTTATAAAGGAGTTCAGAAATACCTACAACAAGCACAGAGATTACTTACATGTCCTGTGATGTTCAGCAGTTTATCAGACTGTCTCTATGGCCACCTTTATTTTGATATTAAAAGGCCACAGAAGCATCAGATATTTCATTATTTTCATAGCATTCTCCAAGATAAGAGTGTCAGAAATTCCTGGCACATAATTGAATTTAAAATTTAAGAGAGTTCTAGTTCATTCATTTGAAATATTATAGGTTTGGTTGAATGAACATATTGTTTTAGAGAAGTCCCGCTTTATTTTGTCCTTTTCCTGTTCCTTCCCTTTGCTCCTCAACTTAAAATTATATTAGTTACTATTTTGCTGGTGAGTGAGAATCCTGTTTAAATTAGTTGAAATAGTTTTCTGGGTTTTGAATAGTTCTTAGTTTCCTCTGGTATGTTTCTAAAAAGTCATGGTCATGGCTCACATCTTTGGTAAATAATGAACTTTGATGGGTTGAGTTAACCTGACAAAGTTACATGTTTCTTTGAAAGCAGAGCTACAGGTCTTGCTAGGGGAAGATTATGTGATACAAATGTGAGTACAGTTCTTATGAACAGACAGTGAAAGAGGAGTTGTTCTTCTCATGTGTACCAACTCCCCAAAAACCCTGTTAGTCATGCAATAGAAAGGACAGGGAAAGGTGAAGAGACAGTTTAAATCAGCAGATTAGACCAGGTCATTGTCCTCTGGGCATCCAGTCCAGTAGCCTCGTTCAGAATTTGGAGTCTTTTCTAATTTCATGTCACACCTTCTCCTGTCTCCCTTCAGAACATTACTGAGGTTGCTAAATTTTAAGAAATGCTGACCAAATCAGCTTTCACAACACCACGCACTGAGCAGCTAGTTCACTCTCAGTTTACAAAGCTACAAGATCCCAAAGAGTCACAGGTACAAGATCTTGCTCTAAGACATGACAGTCTAATTGGCCTCTGTTTTTCAGTTAGTGTTTTTCTGTTAGTGAGGTGGAAAGGGAAGCAGAATTATAATAATTCTAGTCATTATCATAAAAGATGTGAAAGAGAAGGCAAGTGTGAGCAGTGGGAGATTGCCACGGAACATGGGTAATGGGTAATGGAGAAGCTGTAGATTCCAGCTGGGAAAGCTGAAGAGAAGGACAGTTTTGTTGAATATCAAAATAGACTTATGCTTTCCTGCTTCACCACAACAACCTGTTTAAGGACTTGGAAGGATCTTAAGTGGAACCATGGTGAAATAGATAGCTATTGGTTACTTTTGAAATAGTTGTAAATGAGTTGAGAATAAAGAAAATCAATGCACTTGAGTTCTTCAAAGTAGAAGATTTTTAATCATATTTAACAGGATTCTGTTTCAGAAATTTGTAGAGTTTTTTTTTTTTTTTTTTCTTATTCCAGACACTGTTTTTCTGATTTTTTTTTAGACATCTGTTTCACTATTTATTTGAAAACTGATGGGAATTTCTGTTTGTTTACTTCATGAATTTTTACCTTCCCCACAGTGGTCGATACAGTAGTTGCTATTCCCTATGGAAGCAGGCATATTCGCCTCGTGCTGAAAGGACCCGATCATTTATGTAAGTAGAAAAAGTATACATTTGTTTAAGAAAGCCTTGCAAACCCGCAGTGCTCTGTTTATAGTGTGGTGTCTGGTTTCCCTCTCTGAAATCAATGATTTCGACACAGGGGTGAGTCCTGCCCTCAGAAGCTCTCCCTGGACCCAGCTACATCAGTGATACATGCTAATTTCAGAGCAAAGCCTGGCCAACATTTCAGAATCCTTTTCTCCTCGATAATTTTTCCGTCATTTCTGTTTGCTTATCCTTTGGCTGGCTTACTTGGTGCCAAGTTCCTTTGTTTAAAATTAATAAAATATATCCCACAGAGTGAAGAAATATTGAGGACAGTAAAGTATAAGCTTCCCTACAGCCAAGCGTAGCCATCAGCTGCCCATGACTTTAACACATGTTTCTGTTATGATAATCTCTTTCACTCCAGTAGATACACAGACACACAGAAAATTACAGTGAGAAGATCAACAGCAGTGTGCAGATGTCAGACCATGCACTTTAGGAGTGATGTTGCTCCAGAGAGTGAAGCCCCTTGACTGCTGCTAGCCCATCACTTGGTAGCTATAACACATTTTCCCTATTTTGCCTGACATGGAGCTGTACATCTCAGAAGTTCCTCTGGGAGAAGAGTCTAAGTACTTGAGAGTATGCAGGAAGAGCTGAAGGCAAATCCATTTCTTTCCTGGATAGAAACTCCCTGCAAAAGAATCTCTTACTTTCCAATGCAGTAGCTATTCACAAACTGCTCTTTTTTTTTTCATTGCCAGCAAACACAATAGTGTTAGTAAAAGGGATTTGCTGTAAGGAAAAAAAAAGAAAAAGCCACAAACCAATGCCCTCAGGCAGTACTGCATAACATCTCAGAAGCACAAATTATTGTCAGGCAAATAGGACTGCCTTTCTCCTTTTCCAAAACTCAGTAATGCCTTTCCTGCAGCAAGGACCAGTTAGAGCCCTATCTGCTTATCAGTATAAATACAATCATGAGAGTCAGCAAAATCACAAAATCATTCCCAGACTCCCTAGACTTTTTTCCCAAAATACTTAGGTGGAGTGGAAAGATAAGGGGTGGTTTATCTGTACTGCTCAGTGTACAGTACTTGTGTTCAGAAAGCAATAAGCATGCCATAGTCCTTTAATGATTGTTTAGATTTAAAGCCATGAATAACAATCATCAAATTACAGTTTATAAATTAAGAAAAAATATGTAATGTTTTTCTTAAAAGATTTGCATGTACTTCAGTTTTAAGTAGCCCTCTGGGCACGCCAGCACTGCTCCAGTAAGTTTGTTATTACTATCCCAGTAAATGATTTGCATTCTTATTTTCTTCCCTCTCTTTTTTTCTTGATATAGGCGTTCTCTTCCTAGGTAGAAAAAAATTCCTTTTTTTCATCTTTTTTTTTTTTTTTTCCCCTGTGAAATTGACCTGTAAGACAGCTTAGAGAGAGATGAGATTTCAGGAGAGGCTAATCTAAAGCTGTCTTCACTCAGGCCATATCACGTTTCAGGACAAATAAGATTTGAATCAGCAAGGTCTGCCTGAGTCATTGCTTAAGATTTAGATGAACTGCTCTCTGTAAACATGAATAAGTCCAGATACGTCTCTTTCTTGTTTCAGACATCTCCATGAATCTTTCAGTTTAGCCATCACAGGATTTTATATATGTATGAGCTACAGTCCATTTGGGGATGGGAGTATTTTGCCCTGTGAACTTTGGTTGTGGGAGAAGTCAACAGGAGGCCAATTACATATACACAAGTCTTAAAACCATCTTTATCCCTGGTGCATGCAGTCCTGTCCAGAAATAACTATAAAGCAAAGTGTATCACAAAGGAAAAGACTAGTCTTCCTGAAAACCAAGGAATTCATTAATATGGAGCAAATTCTTACTGACTGCCTCAGCAACATCCTTCTTGAGTTAATTCCCATGACCCACCCTGGAAACCAGCCTAATTACTGCTGTTATCTTCTTCTTCTTCTAATTGACAACTTAATACATGCTGATGAAACTATTTCTCCCATTTACTCTCTCTCAAAATATTGTTCTATCACAGATTAATAGTAGGCCCCATTTATTTTAGACAATCTCTTAGTTACTTTTATCTAGAAAATGTTGTGTATAACTTTACAAATACATTTGAAAGGAATACAGCTTTTCATGACAAAATGCACCTTCACTTTGAATAATTATACAAAACAGCTTATTGGTGAACAGGTGAACATGCTTTAAGGAGTAATCTGAACTTGATGGGAAAGTTAACTTGATGGTGGAACAGGTCCACATTCTGATTATTAATTTCCATTTAAGAAATGATTTATGTAATCACTAATTTAGGGAAAAAATCTGCATCACTACCCTACCATTTTTATTTATTTATTCTGTTCTCAGTTACTGTTGTTTCAAATTATAATGCTCTAGATTCCTGTTAATTTGTTTGCATTTATCAGATTTGGAAACCAAGACTCTCCAAGGTGTTAAGAGTGAAAACAACCTCAGCTCCACAGGTTCCTTCATTGTGGACAATTCTAGCATTGACTTCCAGAAGTTTCCAGACAAGGAGATACTGAAAATATCTGGGCCTCTCACTGCAGACTTCACTATCAAGGTGAGGGTCATCAACCAAATGTGCTCCTTAAAGCAATATAAAATGACAAATGACACAAGATGTAGGAAAGAGATAAGAATTTATTTTTTTTTTAGTTTAATTTTCCAGTAGATACTTTTCACAACGCCAAATCCAGTTTGATTATTGAATTCTGCTTGTAATTCTTTATAACTAATTATCTGATGAAAGATTCATTGAACACTTTCAGAGAAGAGACCAAGATGAACTCACTGTAAGAAATATCAGATTACTTTAGAGACTGTATGCAGTTTGCTTAGTTTATGACAAAAAGAAAGAAAGTCCATTCTTTTTGTCCATAATTTGCGGGATTTATACCAGGATAATTACATAATAGGCTATTAGAGAGTGGAGAATGGGATCCCTGACTTCCAAAGTAAATGGGATGACATTGGTAGGAAAGTCATTGTGTCATTTCAGAGTTCTGCTTTGTGTTTCATTGGTAATAAGAATCAAATTGTTTCCTCCCATTAGACCATTTCTATTCTTCCAGGTAATATAAAACACATTGCTGGAAGCAATGCACACATTCCGTAGGAAAACACATAGAAAAATGAACAATTGGGAATTACAATAAAATAAATCCTTTTCCAGTAGGTCCAAAGAACCTGAAAGATTTCAGCTTTAAAACTGTAAAACCTATATCATGTCCAGGACTACATAGGTTTTCACTATGGACCCCAGAGGTAGATGATATTTGCTTTAACCTAAAGATGATGGCAGCTAGGAGTTTGAACAGTTAACTGCAAAAATCAGTAGTTCATGGGATTTGGCTGAGCTGGACTGGCATAGAATTTATCATTTTGAGTGTGAGCAGAGTGCTGTGGATTATCCTTTACCCTTCTTGGTATGATAGCAGCACAAAAATCAAGCAGAAATTATCAGGACTAGTTCTCAGAGAGAAGCCTGACCTGAAGAATGCAATCTTTTTTACTTCAAGCTCAGAATGAATATGCCTCAATAAAACATATGCTGATCACTTCAAAATATCCAAAATACTGTACTACAGATTATATCCAGATATTGAAAAATAGTGATGTAAACTGTGCTGCTTACTTTTCTTTACTTGTGCAGCTATGGATTAAGGCTGCCTGCTTAGTTAGAGCATACCTGTTGCTGTGGATCAGAGGCACTGAAATGTTATCAGGGGCAGGACTGTGATTCTGGTATTTACACTGTTCTCTTGTATGAGAGGGGAAAATAGCTTTATCCCTTGAAGCAAATCCTTCTCTATCAAAACAAGGTAAAGTATTGAAAAATTAGATAAAAGGCTTTACTGTGGTGCTAGCAGGATATTTTTGATATGAAGATTTACTTGCCTGAAAAACAGTTTTTACGTAAACAGATCTAGATGAATTTGTGGCTGGATCAGAGCTGTGATTTGAGGATTGTTATCTCCAGAATCACTGTTGTTCATTCTTTTTCATTTAATCCCGAATGCTCTCATTCAGTGAGGTCGAGTATACCTTGAAACAGCTCAGAAGTAGATTTGTAGATTATTTGTAACATAGAATGCTTTAAAATTGCAAGAAGATACTTCATGCTGCTCTTGTAGGATCTCAATTGTATATCTGCTAAAATTCTTGACTTTGTGTGCTATACACCTGACAGCCTTTTCACAAGAGATGTAAATAGTAAAAACAATTTAGTAAAACATCAGCTCATTTTTTTCTTTTTTTTTTATGAAGTTGGGTTTTTTTGTTTTTTTTTTTTGTTGTTGTTGTTTTGTTTTTTTTTCCATTAAAAATTATCAGTTTTCATAAAATGTTGGTGAAATGAAGTTCAATTTCACTTGGAAGTCTTGCTGGCTGACAGTATGGCCTAAAGAACAGTGTAGTAATATCACGTAGTGAGTCTTGTGTTTCTCTGTCAGAACTGCTATCAATCTTGATTTTACCAAGGTCACATATTCATGTGTCTGTCATGAAAAGCTTCCTCTGTCTGTACTGATCTGAATCTGATTCAGACAGAAAATAGAGAATCATGGAGTCATCACTTCCTTTTACATATCTGCAGAGTGAATTAAAACTCTCAGATGGGGTCTACAGATGACAGTATAAATTACTGACTGATTATTTAAACAACCAGCACTGTGAATTTGAACCACTTGAGGTAGAGGATTTCTGAAACAGGGATTGCCAGGGAAGAGTTAGGGCCAGCAAAGCACAGCCTGTCAGCGTTTGTGTTATGATCTACATCAAAGTAGTTAGTGTCCTAGCCCTATGTTGGTTAAGTGTTGGTTAAGGGCTGCTGCCAAAAGATACCTGGCTGTATTTTGTGCTTGTGCAAAGGATGTCTGCCTATTTCAGAGATAGTGCAGACTGGCTTCTCTCAAGCAGAGCTACTGCTGAGATTAGGATTTTGGCTGCTAGTTGTCCAACAAACTGTAGCTAAGATAAACTGGATGTGGAATTACAATGAACACTAGTCCTATCCATTTAACTCTTATTTCAGTTGTGGTCTAGACAAGCAGAAAATAGTTGTGAAAGAAATTCATTTAATTAGAGTCTAGGTTAGCAAACAAAAAAAATATTGGGGCTTAGCTTAGACTTCCTGGGACCTGCAAGGGCATGCAGGAGATCACACCAGTACGTGCAGCCAGCTGGCAGATGTTTTTGGACTTCATCAGGCTAGGGCCAGGACTGGATTAAATGATCTCTTTTGAACAAGGAGCATAGAGTGATTTACCTCACTGAATGAAAGAAAAAAGTTGAAGGAACTAATCCTACAAGCACTGATAGATTAGGGTTAAGATGTCTCTTCTATGAGCTAAAATTCAGTCTTCGTGAACAGAAATAGTGAGAGCTAAAAGCTTAGTTGCGGCATTATCTGTCATCAGTGGAAAATGACTTAAGAACTTTGCTGAACCTTGGGACAGAAAATGTGGCAAAATGCATGGGAAACCATGTAGTAATCTTCCAAAAATTATGTATAATTTCTGTTTCATACTCACCTTTGTTTCTGATTCAATAAAAATGATTTCATTTAATAGTTCTTTGGACGTGATTATTCTCCTAGTCTACACTTAATCTGTATATTATGGAACTGCATAATGGTCCAGTGAAAAGTGTGCTTCACTCGTGTTTCTGTTTCAGAGGACTGGTTTCATCTTCTGAAAGGACAAGTTCAAGAAACAGATCAGAGTTACCCTCTATTTTGCAGATTATCCCTCTTGATCCTTATGTTGCATTTGTTTAGCTATTTTTATGAACTCAAATGAGACAGTCCTTCAGGCCATAAACTTGAGCACAGGAAGTTCTGCACCAATATGAGAAGGAACTTCTTCATGGTGGGTGTGACAGAGCACTGGAACAGGCTGCCCAGGGAGGTTGTGGAGTCTCCTTCTCATTCAAGACCTGCCTGGACACCTACCTGTGCAGCCTGCTGTAGGGGGCCTGCTTTGCAGGGCGGCTGGGTTCGATGATCTCTAGAGATTCCTTCCAACCCCAAGGTTCTGTGATTCTGTGAATACAAGTTGTGCAGAGAAATTAAATGTAAGTGAAAATGAATTTTAAAAATTAATGCAAGGGAGGTTCTAGAGTAGTTCATGTGTTCCAGATGCCTGAGCATCTGGAAAATTACCGAGTCTATGTACACATATTTTCTGTATATTGCATTCAGAACACAAATGAATTACACAGTGTTTTCTCTTTTCTCTTTCCTTTCTGTAATATTCTATTAATCTTTTTAGCTGTTTTAGCAAGCTGTTCTTTTCTTTTGATCCTATACTATTATGAATGGTAGAAGCTAATTTAAAGGACTTTTTCATGCATAATCGGCATGTATAATTAATGTCTCCCAGGGGCATTATTATTATCCATTTTTAATGGATTTGGTCAATCAAAGCTTTGAAGTGTTCTCATAGTTTTGCTTTTTACTACTATGCACAATTTTTTTTCAATAGCAAACTTGTTCAATTCACTGTCAACCCTTTATTCTGTTCATTTAGGAATCTGGCTAACAGCATATGTCCTAGCGTGCATTTCTGTGGGACTCCACAGTCCTTCTGCTATTATAAAAGTAGACTGAATGACCTTTCTTTTTTACCCAGGCTTCAGTCCATGGCAAGATCTACTTAATTCATGTGAATTTTCATTTGACAAGGGAACAAGAAGAAAAGTCCTGTCTCAAAGGATTCCTTGGTGAAGTAGATTGATAAGCTTGGACAGTATCACTCTTCTCAGAGGCCTATCTTTGAGTTCTGCTCTTTTTTTTTTTTTTTTAATTCCACCTACAAGCCTTGTACATAAGCAGAGATTACTGGTCTCCAGATTACTCATGAAGCATCTTCTAAATCTTCTGTTATATTTTTCTGTCTTGCTTTGGTTTAAGCAATAGCTCTTTCATGAAAGTAAGCTAAATGGCATCGTACCTTATTTCCATTCCTGTATCCTTCAGAAGTTACATGATACTACTGAATGTTTTTGGATCTGGAGATTTGTAACCATTAATCTTACATTTATGTTTAAAATATTGCTGGTCTAAAATCTACCTTGACATTTTCATTTGACACAGTAAAGACAGATATGTCATTTTCTATTGCTTTGTCAACATGTACTGTGTGTTTTTTCTGGTATCCTTTAAATTTTCAAAATTATCAGCTTCAAAAATCAATGATTTTTAAGTAACATAATACTTTGATGCCATTCTTTAAACCATTTTCATCATTATCAAAAATATTTTTGTGGCAAATAACTGCCTTTTAATTTTTGTCTTTTTATTTTTATGAACTATATATCTCAATAGGATTTTAATTTTTTACATTAATTTCTTAGGTATTACCATGGTTAAATTATTGGTAATAAATATTCTGCAATACAGACTAAGCATACTCAAGCTGCATTCTCTTACATGACTAACATGATGTTAGTGGTGAAATGTTTTTTTCCACGGGTGAGTAGGGTGTTAACAGTAGTATCCACAAATTTAAGAAGAGATGTAGCAGGGCAGGTTTTGAAATATTTGGCTTTGCTCTTGTTGTCTCCTCATTTGAGAAGCTTCTGCTTCTGTTCTAATTAGTAGTACTTCTGTCATAATTGATAAAAGTAGTAGCTAATTTAGTAACCTTTATTGGTGACAGCAATGCTAGCCAATTCACTGCATTGGCTTTTGTCTAGTTCTTCTTTTGGAATGAATTTCAGTTAAGATTTGAACCTTGAAAAAATTCTGTTTCTGTTTTCCAAGTATTACTTTAAAGGCTTTTTACAAATCATCATGTCCACCTAAAGGTGATCTTATCTAACTTAATCCTACATTGGGGCATGGTAAGCAAGTTTGATTCAGAGATGCTTTATGTAGTACATGGTAAATTGGCAACAATCTGATTTCACTGTGATTTCTCTGTCTGGCATAGAATGTGGGTGGAGAAATGGCAGAGAGAGCTGTCTTCCATTTAGAAACAACACAGGGCTGCCATGATCAAGAGATATAAATCCAGAAATGTACAGTACACATGTTCCCTGGAGCTCAAAGGCGAAAGTCCTTTCAGCACTCCAAGACAATTAAAAGTCTAATTCAGAGGAATCATGGTGCTGTCTTGTGTTACTGTGTTACACAATGTGCTTGAAAAACTTCAGCATCTCTCTTCGTGTATGTTATGTCATTTGAAACAAGCCTGTACAATTATTCTCCCTGACTCCTTTTTTGGCTTCAAGAACAAAATATGAACAGCAACAGATCTCTTGCACATCCTCTTTTCTTTTCAATGTAAAGTGTCACTGCATGAGAACAGGAATATCAAAGCACTCTAAGCAGAGAAAGTATTATACTAAAGCTTTGGGTTTCTGACCCAGCACAAAGCACAAAATTACATATGCCACAAAAGGACAATTCTCCATGCTCTCATCCCCAGTTCCTTTGTATGTTATCTTAGAAGATTTCAACATTAAACTTGGTACAATAAATCACACCCGAAGATTTGGGATTTGGCACTTGCAGAAAACATTTGTAATAATAATGTGGAAAAACCATTTGAAGTTTCCTAATAAGCATGTTGGCCTGGAGTTAGATCATAATACACTAGATCAAATTTCATAAGACAAAGGACAGTATGCAGTAATAACCCTTTCCCTGTCTCCTAGCTTAGGACACACACTAGGAATAAGAGAGAGATTTTCTCCCTCCCCAGTACAAGAATTTTGTTAAATGTGAAAGTATTACTGAATGCAGTTATTGTGAGTTAACCCTACAATTAACATTGATAGTTTCTTGTTTATCCCTGCTGGTTATAAACTGCTGATTAAATTCGACAGTCACCAAAGCAAACAACTATTGTGTTCTTCAGCAAATGTACATAAGTGGTTCAGGCACATGCTGCCAAAATCAAGCATGGAAGGGCTGGGTTTGGTGGCTGTTGGTGGGGGTTTTGCTTCTGGTTGTTTTTTGTGGTTTTTTGTTTGTTTGTTTGTTTACTTGTTTTTTTGGGTTTTTTTTATGGTTTCTTTATGTGAATTGGTTGAATTTAGAGGCTTCAGGAGAAACTCAATACAAAGATTAAATCAGATACTGCAGTTATGATCACAAGACTGCTCAAAATGATTCAGAAACATTGTGCTGCCTTTTTATTTCAGATCAGAAGTTTGTTGTTTTCATTAAATATTCTGTGATTATCCCTAAAATCAGTACTGCTTTTTATCAGTCGCAAACAGCTTGGACCTTTGTGGTGCCATTCTAGATAGTCTTTTACAAAATCCGTTATAAAAAAAGCAGGTTACAGGCTATGATTTTTTGAAACTATTTTTACAAGAAAAAATATGTCTCTAGTTGCTAGGTGCAGTAATTTTAGACAGCTAATTTTTGATGGATAGACTGAGGACTGCGATTTAAACCAGCTCTTAATAAGACTGTTGATATTCTTGGTGTTACAAATTGAGGGATGTGCTGTTGTTCTGAGCACTCCTAAGTTCCCTGAAACCTGGAAAGGATGCTCCCCAGTGGATTACAATGCCCAAATGTAGGGCTGATGGCTCTACAGTCTGAGTTCTGCTGATGTCTGCTATCAATATGTTTAGACAGGATTTTATTTGCAAGCAAAATTAATGCCTTTTTCTCTGGTTCAGTGACCCAGTGACATAAGATTCAACACTCACTTTGATAGAAAGCACTGGCATTTCTCATATCTAGCTGTGTGTTGCAAATACAGCAAGAGTCAAAAATGTCACCACACTCCAGATCTGAGTATTCAATGTGTGGAAGTTAGCCTTGTGCAGCAAAAATTTCTTAAAAGCACATAGCTGTCAAATCTCACTTTCAGTCTTGCAAAGCTTAGGCTGATGTTTTGCCCTGGATCAAGATCTTAGCTTTAGAAAACTGTCAAACAAAATTGAAAAAGACATTTTTGCTGCATGGAATCACCATTTATTGTTCCTCTTCTGCTTACAGTATTCCTTAAAAAAATAAATGATACCGTGCCTGCTTCTTTCACTTGCTTGTTCTGTATCATTTTAGCTCATAGCTATGCTTTATTGCAATTCTTCCCTGCCTGTGTTGTTATCATGGCCATATGAGTGACTTCCACCTTGGACTGGAAAAGATGGACTTCTGCCTTTTCTCTATGTTGGAACTGACAGATACTTCTGTAGGCACACAGGAATAGTCTGCAGGGAGATAAACTTCTGAAATCCTGATTTTTTCATGTGAACTCTTTTTCATCTCTTTCCTTTTATAGTAAGCCCTATGTGAGCTCTCAGTCTGTTCTTCATGATTCAGTGAAGACCCTATTGCTAAGTACATCTTCTCAGTTTAAGAATCACTGATGATCCTTAAAAAACAAAGAGTAAGAGCAGAATTCTCCCCAGTCAACTCTTTTTCTGCACACTTAGATATGAGACCTCCCTGAATGGCTTCCAGTACAGCAGAACATTTTTCCCAGGGGTGCATGAGGCTTTCATGAGCCCAGAAAGACCCTTCTGAAGTGTGTGATTAATGCACTATCCTTGCACAAGGAATTGGATATCCTGTTTCTGACAGACAAACTTATAACAATATTAAGCCATGCAGAAGGCCTCCCATTTGCTGAAGAAGCTGTATTGCTACAGCTGTATTTTTTTTCCTGTTGGGAGTATACGTCACTGTTTACTCTAATTGGAAAAGGGCAGCCTTAGTCTCTGTGGGCCAGATCCCTTTCAGCCCTCAACATATTCTGCAGTATTTTCATCTTCTTCCCTCTCTTCAAGTTTTACTTTGATTTGTAATCATGTTTCTATCCATCTACAGAAGAAAACAAAACAAACAACCAGATTATACTGTCAGCTCAATTTGTCATATTTTTGCTTCTGTTTTTCAGTCTAGACTTTGATGATGTCTCTTTGTTTTTGGAAAGAAAGAAAAGTAAGGACAGATTGAAAAACAATATTTCCTAAACAATGCAACTTGTTGAAAATGTAGAAAGAAGGCAGTACTGAAATACTTTTAAGTTGTCCTGAAAGGAAAAAGAAGGAGAAAACATAATGCTAAAATACTACTGAGAGCAGGAGTTTGTTGTGTATATTTGGTTCACTTTTTATCTTTGCATCTTTTTCAGATAGTCTACGTTGGTGCTGCTGACAGTTCAGTCCAGTTCATCTTCTATCAGCCTATCATTCATCGATGGAGAGAAACTGATTTTTTCCCTTGTTCAGCATCCTGTGGAGGAGGTAAAAAATTTACCACTGTATTCCAGAAATAGTCATATATATGTAATATCTGTTCCAGCTTCTGAACTGAGATTTAGTCCTTTAAAATAGGCAAAATCTATGCATGAATGTATTTACAGCTAAGGAAGGGAGAGATAATAACAATTGCAGTATTCCTTGCATTTTTTGCATCATTTGGACTCTGTACTTAATACATTTGAATATCCACATGATCACAGTTCATGCTACAGCTGACAGACATAAGGGACTCATGGGATTTGGACCCACTCTGGAATCACTGGATGTCTCCCTTCTTCATTTCTCACTATCCCTAATCAGCAGCTTTACCCTTCTGAAATGAAACTGCATGTAAGATTCTCAATGTCCAATAAATCTCAGACTATATTTTTTATTTGTTTTAGACTTCTGATTTTGTACATGACCATAGCTGTTACCTTTGGTTTCTTACTGCACATAATTTAGAGCAGGCAAGATCATGTTTGTTCAGTGTCTGCTACATCCTCCTAATATTTTGAGAAGAACATCTCAAACATGCCTCCTAATAAGATGGATGCAAGTTTTTGCATTACATTTAAGCACATCCTATGACCAGTTAGGAGGAGATCTGGAACTACAGAAGTCATCAGCATTAGTGACTACTTATCCTTTGGTCCAGCATTTTACCTATTTAACTTTTGAATGTTTTATGATGCGTGAATTTTTGTAAATGAAGCTGTTGTTTTTAACCTTGACTGTAAAATTGTAGCTGCTGTGTCCAGAATCATGCATATTTTCATGCATGCCTTTTACAAAACCAAAACTTAGATGTATTTCAGGCAGAAACAAGAAAAACACTACATCACATATTATTTCATCTGCTGTGCACTGCAGGTTATCAACTGACTTCTGCTGAATGTTTTGATCTGAGGAGTAATCGGGTAGTAGCAGATCAATACTGTCACTATTACCCTGAAAATATCAAGCCAAAGCCAAAACTTCAGGAGTGTAATCTGGATCCTTGTCCTGCAAGGTCAGTTGGTTCTGATCTTAAGAGTCCAGTTTAAAAATGTAAAGTTAAGAAAATATTTTGTTGCTACTGTTGACTATGTCATTCAACATACAGAGTAATTCAACCTTCTTATCCTCAGGACCTGTTCTATAGAAAAAGATCTTAGTTAAGCACCTGCACAATAGAACTGGATTTGCAATTGGTTGTTTCTTCCCCACAGATTGCATTTTGCCTCATTAATCATAAAGAGAGGAAAATAAATTGACCATCATCAACACACATCTCTTAGGTCTTAGTGAAATGGAGTAAAAATGTTGTTGGAAAATGATTGTCATCACAATTAGAGGAATAAGAGGTGTTCTTTTTTAAGTTATTATTATTCATGTTTATGTTTCCTTCTTGATAAAAAAAATACTTGCAGTCATGGCACCTTATAAAAAGCATAACATGGGGATTTGTTGCAACTTGGGCCTGTGCACAAGACCCTCTCTACCTCCATGCAAACATTCTTCCTCAGAAGATTAATAGTAAAAATATCAAGACCATGGAGTCAGGTTTCCCATGTATAAGAAGAGGTACAAAACCACAAAAAGGACTGGTCTTTTGTTGCACTGACTCCCCTGAACTTCAGTGGAAGTCAGTCTGTAACCACTCACAAACCGCAAGCATTTACTTATGTAACCTAAACCTCTTGGTCCTCTTGTGTGGCTTTGCTAAAAGACGTTTGAGGGCAACTCAGCAAGCGTACATGAAGAGATGCCCATTTATTTGTCTGATCCTTTCTCTCTAGAGTAGTTTTGTGTCAAGTTTGATAAAGAGTTCACAATTGAATGTCACATGAAAATATATTATAGCCCTTCAGATTACTGGGGGTTGCCATAAGAAAAAAAAAGTAGACAGGAGAAGAAGGATGCTTTTAGAGACCTCTTCCCAAACCAACTGTAACAGCTTCAGATTAGATAAGCATTATGGCATTATCAGAGTAGGACAGACCTGTCCAAACTCAAGCTTTATCTCTTCTAAAAAGCTTGCATTAAAGTTCTTTCCATAACTACAGATAACACTCATATTTATCCATCACTAAAGATATATTAAACCAAAATGTATGGCAGTTTATACTCCTTTTCTCTGGTAAATGCATTTTTAATGGCAGCTCTTGTTGCAACTAATTAAAAGCTAGAATTGTTATCATACAGTTAGAAGTAAAAATCTCCTCGAATTAAGAAGTGGAAATACCAAATCTCAAAATTCAGTATTGTTTCAGTGGTATTGCACATTCTTTAACTTACATATTTTATCATCTATTTCATTATGATGCCTTAAGTATATCACATAAAGAATGCAACTTTAGTAGGGCTTATGAAAAGCATTTGCTGTTAAGCATGTAGAGATTGCCTACTCACAATGCAACAAGGCTAATTTTATTTAGCAGTGTTCTGCCCAGTTCAGTATTTAGTTTCACTTGTTCTAGTTCATTCCACCAAGTATATATATATGTGTGTATATGTGTATGTATGTATATGTGTATATGTGTATATGTATGTATGTATATATGTATATATGTATATGTAAAAAAGATTTTTCTGGCTACTTAAATATATTAATAATTCCATTTAGAAACTTTACTGTAGAAAAAATCCTATATGTTTTCCTTGGTGGTTTTCTCAAATCAAAAATAGTGTCTTTGGATTTTTTTTAAGTAGATGTCAATAAGGTAAGCTCCAGGTCTGATCAGGGAGACATACGTATGAGTGCCTCTGAAAACAGAATTGCTGAAAGATGTGAATTAATATGAAATCTGTCTTTAAGATTCACCTTTCATGGTAGCAGTGAGAAAACAATTTGTTGTAGCTTTTTTCTTTTCTTAAAGCCTAAGTTGCTATTTTATTTTTTTTTTTTATTTTTTTAAATACAACTCTGAGTCAAATACTATTTGCCTCAGGAATTTGTACCAAGGATTTTTTCCATACTTTTCCCAATAAATTTAAATGATGTGTGTAAATGCTAAGACAACTGCATAGAGGAAAAAGAAAAAAATAACTTCTGGGCAGATTTCAGGAAGTAATTTTTGTTTTATATAAGACATACCAGGGCAAAGTTGTTGATATAAAGACCCTGAGGGGAAGGAGAGTCATTTAGAAGCACAGCTCTGCCATCCCGGAGCACAGGCAGTAACAGGAAGCAATTGGCTTTTTGGAAACATACTCACAGAATGCCAAATTGCAAAAGATTATTTTCAAAAGTGTCTTTGTAAAGAATTCAATAACCAACAATAGATAAAAAAAGAGAGGAAATCTGTGGTAACTTCTGGAATCTTGATGCTTTCTTACAGTCAAGAAGAGGGTAGGTAAGGCAGAATAACAGGGTTGGGATTGCGGAGGAGGACGCATCTCAGCACTGCAGAGCATTTGCTGTGTGTCAGGCATTCTGCCCTTCCAATATAAAACAAAGATCATAATTATTTTTCCTGGCAAACCTAGTTCCAGTGAAGTATATCTGATTGCTGACTTTTCTTATGGTGTGTCAGTGAATGCCTCAGAAAATAATTTTGGAAGACCACAGTGACACTGAATAAAACAATCAAGACAAAGAGATTACATAAAAATTTTCAGCAAGGGATAGTCTGAAAGAGAAAACAAAATGACTACTATGACTGTCATGTATACTTCCAATTACTTGTCTCTTTAGGCTTAGAATGTGAAAACTTTTCACTTTATTGTGCTCATTATGAAAAATAGATACCAACATTGCTGGCATTATGAGAAGTAAAAAACAAAAACAAACAAACAAACAAACAAACAAACAAAAAAAAACGGGACAGAACAAATGTGAAAATGAATCGATTCTGGGGGGGGGGGAGGGGAGGAAATACAGTTTTTCACATACTTAGAGGCTAAGCAATGAGTGGAAGATTATGTCAATTTTATCAAGTCTATCCTCTTCGATGTGGCTGCATCCAACATTCTTATTTCAGGTGTTCACTTAATTGAACTCTTTTAACTATACAAAATTTCACACTCTTGAGGGTTTGGAAGAGTGTTTTTAGCTATCATCAGTATCCTCCTGACTGATATCTTCTAATGAAAGGAGAAAGGATTTTTTTCTGCTCTGAGAAAAAGAAGTCTGTTCAGACTTGACTTAAATGGGTGTGCTAAAGACATACAGGACAAATCTGGCATGCTGTAAATTGAACATACCATTCCTTTTATAATTCAAAGGCATTCCTCTAAAAAGCAATTTTCACAAATGTGTTGAAGGTTTTTATGCCACTCATCATTGTGAGGTACTCTCTGGAGTAAAATCACTGCTGCTTCTAGATTTCATCCTCAGCTTTTAGGTTGCATTCCCAGGTGCATCGTTCTTTGTTTTTACTGATCTATTGTTTACATCATACCTATCTCCGAAACACATTCATACAGGCTTCTCTGAGTCACAAAAGCTCTCCTGATGTTTTTAGCAGGACATTTCAATGCTGTATAAAAATTTCCAAAGGCATCTTCAGCAAAGATTCTAACTCATACAGCAGTTGTCTCAAAAACTTCACAATAGCAAGCCTCTAGCATGTGGCTGTTTTGTCACTTTGCTGAAAACCCCAGCCCATTCTGCACAGGCAGTAATCCTAGAATCTTCTAGAACATTATCAGTAATCTTACCCACAGAAATAATGGTAGAACTGGTGGGAAAATTTTGGAAAACTCTGAAGTTCAAGCAAGATTTTCAGTACCCAAAGATCTGAAAGAATTCTCAAACATACATTGTTTGTGGAGTTCTCCAGCAAAACTGCAAGCTTGTTTTCCTCCCCATTAGAGATTTTCTTTTGGCATTCTCACTTAACTATTACACTTCAGTGATTCTGAATACACATTGTAATGTGAACATAAATGCTATTTCTTGGCAAACTTGTGCATGATAACTTTTGTACACTTCAATCAAGAGAAACAGATGTAGTGGTGAGTAAATATTTATGATGAGCAACACAGAGTACGCCCTTAATCAGCTGCAGAGTTCTCCTCACTTCATTACAAATTGTCACCTGAATCAGAAAATTGCTAAGTGCATATTTTATAGTTTGTTACTCTAAAGATTTTGAAGTAGACAGCAATTAAGAAACAAGTAACACAACAGTGCAGTGTTCCTATTTTCACTAGATTATTTTTGGAAGATGAATGAAACTGGAGTGAACCTGTTTGCCTTTTTCCCCATCACATCCTAATCTCTAAATTGGAGAGATATGGATTTGAAGGGTGGACTATTTGGTAGATAAGGACTTGGTTGAAAGGTCACAAGCAGAGGGTATTGGCCAGTGGCTCTGTGTCCAGGTGGAGGCCAGCAGTGAATGGCATTCCCCAGAGTCTTGGGACTTTTTAGTATCTTTATCAGTGATATAAATGATGGGATCAAGTGTAACGTTAGGAAATTTGCTGATGACACCAAACAGGTTTTGCACTTGGGTCGAGGTAATCCCAGATATGTATACAGCCTGGGAGAAGGACTTCCTGAGAGTAGCTCTGCTGAGAAAGTTTTAGGGTCTTGGTAGATAAAAAATGCGAGCCAGCATTGTGCGCTTGCGGCCTGGAATGCCAGCAGTACCCTGATTTGTATCAAAAGAGGAATGGCCAACAGAGCAAGGGACATGACTAACCCTCTCTGCTCTGCCCTTGTGAGACTCACCTGGAGTACTGTGTCTGGATCTGGAGCCTTCAGCAGAGGAAAGATGTGTAGGTTTTGGAAAGAGTCCAGAGGAGGGCCACAAAGATGGTGAGAGGGGTGGAGCACCTCCCCTATGAAGAAAGACTGAGGGAGCTTGGCTTATTCAGCTTGTAGCAGAGAAGGTTGCAGGGAGATCTTATTAAGGCCTTCCAGTATGTAAAAGGAGATTATAAACTGGAAGGAAATCAGCTTTTTACATAGTGATAGAATAAGGGGGAATGATTTTGAACTACAGGAGGGGAGATTTATATTAGATGTCAGGATAAACTTTTTCACTGAGAAGGTGGTGAGTGCTAGAGCATGTTAACCAG